CGTTTGGACTACAGCGTTGGTTTCCGGGTGCCTACACTCATAGAAAATAATTAGAATTTTAAAGACGTGGCGCGACACTGCGCTTCTCGTCCGGTGCGCGACCGCCTTTTTCACCTCCGTGCCCAAACGTCTTTGTTTGGGCTTCCGAAAGCGGATATCAAGAAACAGTGGTTGCAATTTATTTTTTAACTCTGTCCCTGAGCATTATAACCTCAATTTGCTATTGTGTGCTGCGCATTAAGTTGACACATGTGAAAGAGTGGTCATAATGTGTTTCCCTATTCAGCCACAGGGGGGAGCAACATAATCTGTATTATGAGAGTAATATGTTGCTGTACACACCATTATCCGGAAAGCATAAGAAAGTGTCAGTCACTGATAAAACATATAATATATAAAATGCAAAATTAAAAAATGTATATGTTGATTGCAGATACCTTTATTTCCTTTGGATAGAAAAAATACAATTGGATGGTCTTCAAAGAAAGAAGATTCCTTGTTACAACACTCCTTTTACGACATCTACTATCAGGGGTGACCCTGACCAAAAGTGAAGAGAGAAATAAATACACACCAGCATCCAGTGAAAATACATATACTGTAGTTGGTACTCCTGCAGGACCTAATGTTAAAGGGGTCATATGATGCTATTTTAAAGATCATTATTTTGTGTATTTGGTGTAACAGAATATGTTGACATGCTTTAATGTTCAAAAAACACATTATTTTTCAAATACTGTACATTATTGTAGGTCCTCTATGCCCCGCCTCTCTCAAACACGTCGTTTTCAACAAAGCCCCCTCCTTTGACAACAAAATATTCCCCTCAGAACAGAAAGGAGGACTTGAGGTTGTCCTTCTGCTTCTCCATGGTCATCTTCTCAAACTCGGGTCCATTTCGGGCGACAAACTGGCCCAGTTTATCAATGACATTACGCAGCTCTTGATCTGATGGGGAAAATCAAAGAGAGAGAGAAAAAAATACAATACACAAAATAAATACATAGTATATTTTTTAAATATAACCGTTCATATAGTAATCAAATTATTTTAAGATATTTTTTAATATTTGCCATCTTTTTAAAGTGTAAGAAGCTTTCGGCCATTTTCTTTCCTATCTTTTTGTGATGATGGCAATCGCTAATATCAACTGTCCACAGTTTTAGTGTAGTAAATATATTTGTACTAGTAATGTTGGTCACCACTAACATCTACTTTTTTATTTTATTTTTTTTATTAAAGATATAACATTCACAAAAAAAAATCTGAAAATATATAACATTCACAGGGGATACAGTCAAAGCAATAAAATACATACATAACCAGAATACAAAACAGTAAATATACATAATAATAAAAACGAAATATAAACAGAAAAAACACCAACCATTGACATCTACTGTACAAGCTTTATATATACAGAAAGTCAGTGAATACACCTGCAAGCGATTTAGCTACTTCACCTGCCATCCCACCCACACTAAATAACCAGCACATAAATGCTAATTTTATGTGACAGTTGTGTGTTTATTAGTGAGGTTTTGTAATATAGAATATCAGTTCATTCGCGCTCGCGCTGCAGTACAATCACTCACGCGCGCAAACGTAGTTACCTTCTGGTGGCGTGGAAATATCCATTTTTCTTAGGATTACTCGCTAGTATTAGACCAGGAATTCATTTATAACACATGACGCTGAGGCGCGAAACAAAATAACTCGCTTTCAAACGGGTGCGACCATTATATTTGTATGGGTTTGTTGTGTTTCAGTTCAAGATGAAGCGACGGGAAACTGAACCGTGACGAGTGACGACTTCCTCCGGTGCGCGAGATGCGCATGCGCTCTGGAGACTTTGGGAAGGGCCGTGACGTCACAGCGTCGCCTGCCGTTGGGAGGCTGTAACTAACGGCAGTTTTTGACACATTTTTACGCTGTTTATGACACCCGAATAACTGGCTTTGTAAGTAATTTTATATTTAAGTTAGTTATGTTTTCTAAGTATCTACTGTTTTGTTTACTGCTTTTTGAAATCGAGTCGTTTATTCTACTATATGCCAAAAATCAACATATCGAATGATTCAAATAGATGCTTAATGTGTGATGTAGTATGTTTGGGAAAACAGCAGTTCAGTTCTCTCACCCATCACTGATTTGACCTCTAATACTCTAGCACTCTCTATTCTAATTCTATTCTTTAAAAAAAACTTGCCCCTTTTAGACTTGCACTCTATTCATTTCTTTTTTTTTTCTTTTTTTTTTATTGCAATTGAAATAACAACAGTTATGAAGTAACATGGGGCTAACAGACATCATCACATGAAGTTAGACAAGCTACACAAATTAACAAAATATACCAATGATAAAGAAGAAAAACAAAACAAAACAAAAAAGAAAGAAAGAAAAATCTTTTAAAGATAGCTTACAATAGACTCAAGAATGTTACAAGTTTTAGAAGCCTTTGAGTTCAAAGGATTTGACATATTCTTAAAAGAAGTAAAAAGGGACTTTATATCAGATGAAAACATTCTAAAGTTAGGTTTGCAATGAATGGTTCTGGCTTTATGAAGGTGAAATTTACCCAGAAGACAAAGCAATAAAACAATATGTTCCAGATTAATGTCCTTGGAATGAAAATCTGACAAAAAAATGATAGATTCTGTTATTTCTATCATTTTGTTACAGCAGGAAAAAATTAACATGGTAACTTCTGACCAAAAAGACTTGGTGAATGGGCAATGATAAAACAGATGTAGAATAGATTCTTCATCAGTATTACAAAATGAACACATTGAGGATATATTCTCAGAGAATCTGCTCAAAAATAAATTACAAGGGTAGTATCTATGAGCAATTTTGAAATGGAGTTCTTTAATTTTACTTGGGATAAATAGCCTGTGAGGAAAGGTCCATAAGTTTTTTAATTCAGAGTTCGGATAACAAATCCTCCATTTAGATTGTGCTTTAGAGGGGCATCCTGGAGTTGAAGAAAGAGCATTTCTAATAAAAAAGTTATTGCATTTTTTATCTAATACATAAACACCATTAAATGCAAGTGTAGGAAAATGGTTGTTTACACAGCCATAACATAAATGCGCTTTAAACAAAGTTTTTAAACTGACAGGGATACTTTTAGTCACCTTATTAAAATCTCTTAGTGAGATTGATGCACCTTTCAAAAACACAAAATCAGAAAAGGAAAGAAGGTCCCCATCAGAATTGAACAAATCAGAAACAAAAAATATATTTTGATTCACCCATTCAATGAAACAAAGTGATTTGTTACCAGACAATATATTTTCATTGTTCCAAAGAATACACGCGTGCGGGGAGAAATTATGTTTAAAAGCAATCTTCCAGGATTCTAGGGCTTGTTTATGAAAATTTGACAGTTTAATAGGTAACTTACTACACTTAAAGTTACAGGACAATAAAAATTTAAGGCCACCACAACGTTTGAAGAATAGGTTAGGGATCCAAAACCAGGGTAACTCATTATTAGATAAACAATTCTTGATCCAGTTAATTTTAAAAGTCTGGTTAATGATATTAAAGACCAAAAGCATTAAGACCACCCTCCTTATAATTTCTTATCATAGATTTCCTTTGAACACATTCTGTCTTATTTTTCCAAATAAAGCGGAATAGCAAAGAGTTAATCATTTTAATAGTTTTTTGATCAACATAAAGGGAAAAAGCAGGATAAACTAGGCGTGAAATGCCCTCAGCCTTAGTCAGCAGGACTCTCCCATAAATTGTCAAGTCACCAAGAGCTTGTAACACTCTAAAGAGAAAGGAAAAATTGAAATCGTATCATATGGCCCCTTTAATGTACACCTTTAAAATGAGTTAAATGGTTCTGATATGTATATTGGTCTTAAATCCCTTATATATAAAAAAATATTTCCCATGATGATCAACTGTGTGTGATGTGTGACCTCTTGACATTTGGAAATGCACATTCATGGTGTTTACAACAGTAATATTGTGGAAGAGAGTCATATTTATTCATCAGAATTCCATTGTCTCTTGAGTCCTCTCGTATTTTTCTGCAAAACAACACAAACACAGATGATGGTTTAGATCTTAAAGCACTCATTATATATCAAGAACATAGTTCTATAATCTTCTAAAAGGTTTAAGACAGTGGCCCTCCTGGAGCAGGATTGCTTTACACTTTCTTCTCTCTCACCTCTCAAATAATCACTTGGGGAAAAAAACATGTTTTGTTCATATAAAAGCAAGAGAAAAACTGGGGAAGTGATTTTACTGCATGAGGCATGTCACTTTGCTCGCAGCTGATTAGTATGGTTCATGATGATAATGTGGTTTAACAGACATGAATGCAAGCATGATAAAATAATGGTGATGAGAGATAAAGATCAAACTAAGAGCAGAGTGGAATATAAACTGAAAAATGTTCACACATTTATTTTTGCAGCTGTGAGAGTGACTGTGGTGAATTAATTTTTCTTCTTAGTTTTCAATTTTACACTTAACATTTATTTTCCATTCCAGTGATCAACTTTGCAGGAACAGTGTATTTTCAACAGAAGCAGCAGACATGATGAGATTAATGTTTGTCATTTTTTAAAACACAAGGTTTGGATGTTTATTGGTTAAAGTCAGTTTTTTTCATTTAATAGTTGTATCAAAGTAATATGTGTTTTTCATATGTGTATTTTCATATAATCACAATTAATGGCATATTTTCTGGATAAAAGTGTCTTACAATTGTAAATAAAAACAGAATCCAAAAATGTAAATGGTGTATACAGAAAGATGCTATTTTGTACTACATATTGAAATAGAGAGGGTATATCAGTTAAAATTATTTATTTTGAATTTACTACAAAATATAGCCAAAAAAGTACAATATACTACAAAAAGAGGCATAAAGCTCAATACAAAAAACATGAAGATTTTGAAATATATATTGTATCAATGTTTTACACTATAAAATATCACAATGAGAGAGAGCTGGTTCATCAGGTTCATCTGTATCAACACAGGACTGTCTGTACACAGTTACTACAGTAACATGACTGAATCTGAAAACAATACAAATATACACAAAACAAAAACACAGTGCAAAATCCCTGAGATAAATCCATTAATTTCCATTTAATACCACATTAACATTCATAAAATCATTTTTTTTATGTTTATTAAATATTATTTTGTGAATGAACACCATTACGAGATATTCAAAGGTCTGTGACTGTTTGACATAAAATATATCATCAAACACAATAAGCACACTAATACAGTAATCCACCTCCTTTTCCATTTTTGGATATTTGGGTGCTAAAAAGTTTGCAGCCCTTTAACAGAATCACAGATTGATTAATGTCTCATGGCGACTCCTGCATACACCACATCCTCCTTCACTTGAACTTTCTGAAAGAAAACAAGCACACGTTCACATCACATATATAGTTAATAAGAGCATTACTGACAATTTATCAGAATTCAAACACACAAGCTAGATCTGACTCACTGCTCAAATAATACAGATAAAGAAGAAAGAAAGAGAGAAAGAAAGAAAGAAAGTTTCTTACGGATTTCTGTGCTTTTCTTTTGCGGAATGTTGGATCAGCATATATTATTTCTTCAGCACTCTGAACTGTTCCAACAATAATGACAGACATGTAAAAACATCAAAACTCTGAATAAAAGATATTTCAGAATTATTGCATTTTTCTGCAACACTGTTTTTTCATTATTTTTATATTATACTACATGGCTGTTAAATTCTTGATTCTGATTGGTTTGACAAACAAGCTGTGCAATTATTTTCCAGTAAACACACAGCTAAAGTAGTTCCAAGCAGGTCTCAACTGCACTGCAGATCCATATCACTTTGTCTCTGGAATGCCTTCATTGAAAATTGCAGGAAAAATTACAATGTTGGCTTGTATGTGACAATTGATTTTCATCCCATTCAGAGGTCATTGTCCTGACGAATACAGCATGAAACTGTTTCTAATGTGTGATGTTGCTACGGCATACACTTTCAATGGTCTACCATATCAGCGGTGCACAGGCTCGGTAGAGACTATAGTAAAGAAGTTGGTAAAGCCAATTCCGAACTCTGGAGTAAATGTCACAACTGATAACTGGTTTACAAGTGCTGCTGATTTGCTCTACAAACACATTACTTTGCTGGGAACAATGTGCAAACACAAGCCAGAAGCTCCGCCTGCGTTTTGTGCCTGTAAGAGGAGACCTGTGGGATCAAGTCTGTTCGGTTTTTGCTAAAAGCAAGCCATGGTGTCCTATGTGCCAAAAACAAGGTCGTTGTGCTTTTATCCAGTATGCATGACAAAAAAGAAGTAAATGAAGTGTCTGAGAAGCCTGTGATGATTCTAGACTATAACAAGACATAGGGTGCTGTGGACTGCGTGGACCAACGGTGCATGCATTTAAGGGTTAAATTATCACTTGCCTTCTTGGTCCGTTTTCCTGCAGATGCAGGAGATCCAGACTGCAGTTACAATCAACAGAGATCCAGCAACAGCAGCAGCAGAGATCAGCCCAATGTGCAACGAGGACAGGCCTTTATTTATAATGGACAAAATGAAGCATTAATATGAATGAATCTTTCAATCTGATCAACAACAAATACTGTATCAGTACTCTATAACTAGAGAGATAAGTTTAGTTTAGTAAACACATATATCAGCACTGACATACCTGGACATGGCAGACAGAGTTCACTGATGTTGAGATGTTGAGTCTGGTTGCTGATGGGATTGTTGAGCACACAGCTGTAGGTGTTTTTCTCCTGATATTCCACCTCCAGAGGTAGAGAGAGACTGATGCTGAGATCAGACACACTGATGCTGGACAATAAACTGTTTCCTTTGTACCAGGAGAGAGTCACATTACTCACATTCACCACTGAACACAGCAGTGAACAATTCTGCTGTGATGGTGATGATGATGAACAGTTTCTAATGATGTCAGGAACAGGCAGATTAGCTGGAAAACATGAGAGAATATAATGGGTATGACGTAGATGAGGAACCAGGACTACTCAAAAATAGAGCATTTTAAAATCTGATATTGAAAGAATAGTATACTTGTTTAACAAGCAGACAACTGTAAATGTTGAGCATGTAGCTAAATCCAAACAAAAAAAGATGGGTGCACAAATGCTAGCTTGTGTAATTAGCCTTAATAAGAGAAGGAGTCAGCATTACAGATTTAAAAATGATTAAAATACTTATTTTCTTGCAGAAACACCCATAGCAACAAACAGGGTAATACCCTACTCACCATAGACAGTAAGACTGAAGATGTTGAGTGGGGTCCCTGAGCTTTTGCTGGTGACTTTATAAACTCCAGAGTCTGTGGTTCTGGTGTTTGTGATGCTCAGAGATCCAGTCTGATGATCCAGCTTCAGTCTGCCTCTGAATCTCCCATCAGCACTATCCTCATAAAACCTGCTCTTATTGTCCTTCCCGTAGATTTTAGCTATCATAATGTTTTCAAATTTCCACGTTATCTCATCGTCTCTCTGTATTTCAGTAAGATCAGAGTTTAGACTTACTGATTCTCCCTCTGTTACTGACACTGACTTCACTGACTCAACACCAAACACGCCTGATGAAAAAACAGACATAATTACTGAGAATCCAGAGATTTACCAGATTTTTTGTCAATTTTAAACTATTTACAAATTGTCGATGTAAAATAATTCTTTACTTCAAAAATTTAAATGTACGGTTACTATGCAGTAAATTTAACCATTTGATGAGATCAATTTGATGAGATGACAATAGGTCTGTAACAAATATTGTGAACAAAGAGATTTTTCTATAGTCTTATAAAACGTAATGGATAACAGAATGGGTTTATATGTGGACAAACGATAAATGTAGTCATAAAGATACTTAGGCCTACCACTCAGACTCCATAAGAACATGCAAAAGATTTTAAACATGCCATATATTTTCTTTTGCATTTCGCTTAACGGTTTCAAAATAAAAACAGTTCCTAATTTTGAAAATTAAGTCACAACAGAAATCTTATAATAAACATTTGAACACTGAAAGCGATAGAGGTGCTGTGGACGACTGTGCTGTGAAGCGGTTTGGTGAAACTCTACAGTCAGCGTGAATAAACTCCTCTAGATGGCACCTCCCTTCACAGACTGTAAACTATATGACCTGTTACATATTTTTTTCACATACAATATACATATTTTAGTAATTAATTTTATTAAGTAGTATTAACCAGCGCTGCAATAGCTCGAGGTTGCCTAGAACACCTCGGGACGCGACAAAGCGACAATTACAAATTCATTTGTCTGTCGTGTCAGAATTAGCGCGAGTGCTTTGAGAATAGCTACGTCGAAATAAAACGGGGATCAGCTTACTGTCAAGTATTTGTTATGTTGCATTGTGTTGCGTTGTATCCAGTGTGTACAGTATTAAAGATTAATGGATATAATGGTCGATGTAGGCAGGGTGTACGTTTAAGAAGAATTGCTGACAGATATTCCCACTCCCTCCAGTTCAGTATTTAAAATGTTTGCTTTGTAAGATTTTGTGAATGATTTCATATTATGGAATTGTCAAATTATTGACTTCCAATTCTAAGCTGATGAGTTGTGCTCATTAACAACATCTCAGTGGTTAGCATTTTAGACTCACCAAAAAAACTGCCAGATTTACATAGACAGAAAAATGTAAAAAAGTATGATTTATTAACAGAAAGAAGAAAAGGGAGAAAGCAAACTTTCTAATAACATGAATTAAACGTTCACATTTTATATTATAAAGAGAAATTGAAACTCAAGGGCAGTGGTTCTTAATGTTCAGGGCCTGACAGCACTGCAAATTTTGTATGACTTCCTTATATAAGCATGTCTTTGGCAGCCAATTCTAATGTTATTTACAACAACAACAGTCTTTATCTATATGATTTTAAAAATAAGCACAATAAATGAACAAAAATATGTTTTATGAACCACACCCCACTTTTCAAAGGTATGTTTCATGTGGACTTTATACATGACTTACAAACCTATAATGTAATAAAGAAAAAAAATGTGCTTAACTGTTTTGGGCAAAATAAAACATAATTAAACTATATAAAATGATGTTTGTATTTCTTCTGGGTTCAGTTCTTCCATCATCCCTTATCATTTCAAGTTATTGCTAAATTAAAGACAAACGCCAACTCCTGAAACACTTTTGAGTTATTTATTGGTTTATTTCATAAGAAGGAAGCACTGCCATCTTTAAAATGCATGCCTGACCCACACTACAAATTAAAAATGTCTACTAACTTAAAATATTCGAACAAATATAAGCAATACTTTGTCTATTCAAATTAAACGATTCATGATTAATGTCATGTACACAGCAAATTTTTATTGTGTGCTTTTTAGTAAATGTATATTATTGTGAATGTTTTGTCCTGTTGGATTTCTTTTCCATTTTATGCATTGTTTCTCAGTCTTTAATCTCCAATGTGGTGATGCTTTTAGTGTGAACAGAACATACTTTAAACAATAGCATCACATAATTTTGTTGTCTTAAATATAACAGTGAGTAATAAAATTGAGATATTAATATCACTATATTCTTTCATACTCTAATAGACTAATAAAACATAAAGGAATTTAAAAACTGTAAGCTACTTCTTGTAAAACCCAACAATCTGTCAACAAGCATGAGCTTTTATTCAGATAACTACAGATGTACAGATCACTTTCTCACTGAGCGGGAATCTATGAGCCTGCAGTTATCTTACAACAACAACAACAATAACAATAATAATAATTATTATTATTGATTATCTTATTAATCACAGTGTATGTTGTAAGGCATATTCTTTGAAAAGCTGTTTTAGAATGACTTGTATTGTGAAAAGTGATATAAACAACGGACAAAAAAAAAATGGGAGTTTACATTCTAAAAATATATATATATATTTTTTGTAATAAAATATGTACAGTAATTCAAGAACATATCCACTTTCCTGATTATTTTTTTTATTTAGAGTTTGACAGTGATGTCTGCTCTTGTTGAAGACTTCTGGATCGGATCTCATAAACAAGAACAGCCACAGTAGCCACACCCACCAGAGCAGAGAGAGCCAATCGGATCACAGCTTCAGTAAAACCACAACAGTGGATAAAGTCTTTTGAGAGAAGAAATAGGCAGCATTAGAAAAACAGAAATATGATTTATTTAGTTTGTTTGTGTGTGCTACTGAAGTACCTGCACATTTCTGACAGAGTTCTGATGATGATGATGATGATGAATTTTGTGAGGAGTCTCTGGTGATGACGGGAACAAGCAGATGAGCTGGAAAACATGAGGGGATAAATTTAATTTAGTTTAATAAAAATGCTATAATAACTGTCTGTCAAATGATATTTAAATTTTAAATGAAGTTGCAGAACATGTTATAGAATGTTGAAAACAAAGTTACCAGAAAAAAATATATAAAATTATGAGAATAATTAATATAAATATATATCTATAATCACAGGATTGTCTATTATTTGACAATATTCGTAATAATTCTGATAGTCATTATTATCAAAAGATGAGTATAAAAAAAACGGGTAAGTAATTCTCTACTCACCATAGACAGTAAGATTGAAGATGTTGAGTGGGGTCCCTGAGCTTTTGCTGGTGACTTTATAAACTCCAGAGTCTGTGGTTCTGGTGTTTGTGATGCTCAGAGATCCAGTCTGATGATCCAGCTTCAGTCTGCCTCTGAATCTCCCATCAGCACTATCCTCATAAAACCTGCTCTTATTGTCCTTCCCGTAGATTTTAGCTATCATAATGTTTTCAAATTTCCACGTTATCTCATCGTCTCTCTGTATTTCAGTAAGATCAGAGTTTAGACTTACTGATTCTCCCTCTGTTACTGACACTGACTTCACTGACTCAACACCAAACACGCCTGATGAAAAAACAGACATAATTACTGAGAATCCAGAGATTTTTAGTTTTTGTCATTTTTAAATTTTAAAAAAATTGAAAAACACTTATTCGCTGATTTCAATGTATAATTCAATAATATGCCATGAATTACGCACTTTAATGTAATGGCTGAGAAAAAAAATACAAAATAACATCATAAACAAAGATATGTATTAAGTAAGTCTTCTAAAACATTAAAATGAATGATGGAGATAACAACAAAATGATATGTATGTGGACCAATGATAATATACAGTGAAATGAAACCATAAAAATACTTACCACTCAGACTCCATAAATTCAAACAGAAAAAAAACATGCTATATATATTATTAGACATTCCGCTGAACGGTTTCAAATAACAACAATTCCTATTTTGTAAAGGCTACATTTAAACACAAACAAAACGCAAAACAAAGCATAGGTTAACTGTCGTAATAAACCTTGGACGTTTCGTAATAAAGCGCCAGAAGAGCTGAAGGGGACAGTGCAGCTGGTCTGTTGTGAAGTGGCTTGGTAAAACTCTGCCGTTTGAAACACCGTCTATGTCATGAAACCACTTGCTGACAGTGCCGATGTGCCGAATTCTGCACCCCTGCCAGATTATTCACCCCCTGGTATTGGTAGGTTTAGGAGTAGGTGGGGGAGGGGTTATGATTAGGGGTGGGGTTTGGATTAGGCAATCAGGTAGCGACTTCAACGAGGGGATGCATAATCTGGCAATGGTGCAGAATTCGGCACAAAACCTATACGCGGGGTGAGGGCGTTTCTGTTGTTGCAGAAATGTTGGTTTAATAAAGACACTAGTGTTTTTTATATAGGCTACATCCGCTGTCAGACCGTTTGTTAATGTAGCTTTAACAGGTGTTTGGGTGTTATTCATCATGTTCACTTTTCACTTACAGAATTAAGTTTGTTCTTTTCTCGTATTCTCATATATTTACTCATTCAGAATACAGCTAGGCTATACAATTCAGTATGGGTACGAAGTTTTCCTAGAATAAATAAAAAAAATCTACATCAGTCCACTGAAGCATAGGCTACTGAATACAATGCAACAGCAATGTAATGCCGATAGAATGAAGCCATTAACTCAAGTCACCTTTAAAATGTATTTCCTAGGGTAGCCTACATATAACATTTATACCATTACGTAAACAATGCGAACAAGTAAGAAACACAATGTTATTTAAATAGCTAAAAATAATAATAGGCTAACAATACCGTAATAATGATAATAGTAGTAGGCCTAATAATAATATTAAGTAGGCTATGATATAAAGTAAGTAGCCTACAACATTAGATATTACAGTGCATTAATACAGATAAGTCTTATCTGTATTTATTCTAGAGATTCGTGCGAACGGTTGTGGTTGTCAATGCAGAGCAGGTACGAAAGAGCTGACAATACCAAATAGTCAGAACTAGCAAAGTACCGGTAGTTGTGAAATGTACAGTAAAGCACCAGCAGTAAAAAAAAAAAAAAGCCCTATATTACTATTTAATTTGAAGAAAGAAAAAAAACACTTTTGAAAAGACTTTAATTCCCTAAATTGTTCTAGATATGGCCATTGTTGTCACCATAGACTGTTGTCACTGGAGAAAGAAAAAAAAAAAAACCTTTACGTTGCAAGGGCCAATCCGGGAGCCAGAAACACGGAAGTGTGAAGAAAACTAATGCTCCGCTTCTTAAACTGCTTCTCCTTTAGAGCATTGGCGTATTCCGCACCACGGGCACATACCGCCATCTACAACTTCTCTTCTTACATGGATGATAGTTACCTCTCTATTCTTTAATTTCGGGTTCACACATTGCTGCATTCCTGACTGCTGCGTGTTCAGCCCCCATGCCAGAAATCCAGCTTGTGTGTTCCCATCTATATTTTTGTTTTAATTATAGTGTCTATACCTATCAAATTCATTAACTAGCCCCTTTTCCTTTAATAATGTGTCAAAACCTTTGAACTCAAAGGCTTCTAAAACATTTAACATTCTTGAGTCTGTGGTAAGGCATCTTTAAATGTTTTTTTCATTGTCGTCGATATTGATTTGTGTAGCTCTAATGTGTTTGCCCCCTGTTACTTCTTAAATGTTGTAATATTTTCAATTGCAATAAAACCCACTATTCACTATTATTTCCTGTTCTTCATTATTGTTGGATTTTAAGAGCAGCTTGCATCGTTGATGTTGCACTACTGCCATCTTCTGGAGTTAATTCCTAAGCAACTTCTTTTAAATTAAAAAGTAAATCAGGTATTTCCTTCCTTGTCCACCCCGACAGACACATTTTATGTGCACCTAATTTGTGATTACAAATTTGATTCACTTGACAGCAAATCCTATTGTTTTCATATCTCACAGAACACCAGCTTTAAATTCGATAACCTCTTTGTGCAATTTTAATGCAATACATGTCTTTCATTTTCATATGCTCTACAGTGTAGTAGGCTATAATAAGTTCAACTGTCTCTTCTTCATTGCAATGGCTGTACAATGTCCACAAAGGGGAACATGAAAAAAATTAATAAATTAATACATATATGTATTACTTTGTTATTATTCCTAATTTAAAATAATTGTTTGTGATCATTAATATTTATGGATTGTTACGCCAAGTTGGTAGAACAGTAGATTTTTTTATCTCTTTTTCGTATTCTCTCTCTCTCTCTCTCTCTCTCTCTCTCTACATCAATAATAAGAGAGAGCGAGAGAGAGAGAGAGAGAGAGAGAGAGAGAGAGAAAATCGTCATCTCTATGCAAACAGCAGATGGCGGTAATGCTCTATTTTATTTTGCAGTCCACTGTAAAGAAGAAAACCGTTTCCTTTACAGTTTAATAAACAAAGTAAGTAATAAGAGAGAGAGAGAGAGAGAGAGAATTGTCTGCTCTATGCAAACAGCAGATGGCGGTAATGCTCTATTTTATTTTGCAGTCCACTGTAAAGAAGAAAACCGTTTCCTTTACAGTTTAATAAACAAAGTAAGTAATAATATAAAGTGCATAGGCAAGTCAAGGAAAGAAGAGGTTATCTTTAACAGAATATTGCTAGGGCACTCAAATTTAAATAGCACTCTTAAAATAACAGGGAAACATCCAAATGGGTTATGTGAACAATGTCATGTTGAAGAAACAATACCTCATGTATTTCTTGAATGTAGCAAGTATGAACAAGAAAGAAGAAAAATGATAGTAGAAATAAGGAAAAATGGAATTCAGGATCTTAATTTTAAGGTTTTAATAAAATGGGCAAATGAAATAAATAGTAATGTATTCTTTGATTTTATAAGAGACACAAGGTTGGTAAATAAATAGAATTTAAAACTCTGTTTCACACTCCGGAGCAGAAGGTGGCGGTAATGCACCTATTTGCGTTGGTGCCAGCCGCCGTTAAAAACCAAGAAGAAGAAGAAATCCGTTAGTGGAAAAAGAAGAAGAAGAGCCTCGCGGTTCGAGCTAAGATTTTCTGACGGCGGTTTGGCAACAGCTGATCTGTGACTGGAGAGTGCATGGTAGGAAGTGGCGTAGATTCCGGAAGTGATCCGGAAATGGAGGATGTTGTAAAATTGGTGTGGACATCATACAAACCTTGGTGGAGAGATTTCCAAGATGGAAATTTAATGTAGCCAACTGGGAGCTTTTTAAAGAATTGTGTCATAACAAGATGTGTGAAATTGAAGATGGTATTGAAAGTATCGAAGAGTTAAGTAAGAAAATAAGTGAAGTGTTAAGAAATACGGCAGAAGAAGTAATTGGCAAAAAGAAAACTATAAATAGTAAAAAAGCAGTCCCGTGGTGGAATAACGAGTGTAGTAAGGCAATTATGGAAAGAAATAAAGCGATGAAGAAAGCCAGAAAATCTGTATATGTTTAAATATCTGAAAAACACAGGAACAATAGATAGAATCTAGGAAAAAAAATAATAATAATAAAAAAAAGGTTTTTTTTTTTTTGTAAAAAAAAAGAAAGAAATCCCTTCTGTATTTCTTTCTTCCAAATTTATGCACACTCCACACTCCAGATCAGTAGGTGGCGGTAATGCACCTTTTTCGCTGGTTTGCCAAACCGCCATAAAACACCAGAAGAAGAAGAAGAAGAAATCCGTTAGTGTCTCCGCCATTACAGTCTTCTGCGTTTCGCTACTGTCTTTCAGATTTGGAAACGCAGACGTTCTTATTCTTCTTTAGTAGCGTATAAACCATTATCATTCAATCAAGCAATCAATCAATCAATCAAATTACAATCGGTATATCTCTCTGTTGGTATTTAGAGGGTTTTGTTAACAGTCGTCGCTGTAAGTCGAGTGGATGGGTGTGGTTCGGAAACAATCAACCAGTATAATGGCCATCGAAATCTAATTTTGCCGGAATCTTCAACATTATGAAGACCTTATTACATTTTTTTCTACTAATGTGCGGTAAGTGCGCGATTTCATTTTTTTTTTTAAATAACTTTCGGTTTCACTTTGACGTCGAAAACAGTTCAATAGATGTTCTCACATTCTTAAACTTCATTACATTATTAACAACTATATGCATTCAGATGAATATGGACATGCTCTCTTTCACTATTTGTAATTAGGGGAGAGAAGGGGCGGAAGTACAATTTTTCAGATTTTAAAAAATAAATATTTAGACAGATATATTTTTGCTGTGGTCAGTGGTCTATCAGTACCATGTAGTATTTATTTATTTATTTATTTTTTATAAATGTAAACGACTTTAGTATAGTTTCACTTTGAACATAGGTTGCACATTGTTACTTTACTCTGTCTTTCTGACCCTCACTTCTGGCATATTCTGTTGGTATCATACGACCAGTGGCGGAAATGGCCACTGGGGGACTCTAGCTTGGAAGGGGTGGAGGGGAGGGGTGATAATGTAAGCATTATTAATGAACTCTTGTGTTTAATAAAAAAGGCAGAATAAGCCCATTTAAAAAAATAAATAAAATTAGTAGCACTGTCAAAAATCTAGGAGCACCTTCTGATCAGTGACAAAAATTAACTTTTACATTGAGGCGATATTTGACTCCTTAAAGTGATCTGCATGGGCATCTTTGTAATGGCATTTTTTTTCTAACCTTATTAAATGCGTCCTCTTTTCAGTCAAATTTAAACATTTATATTTAGAAACCTTTAATGTTTTTAATGAAAACAATAAATTGTTTAAAAGACTCAGAAGTGCCATGTATGCATTGAATGCATTTAACTTCATAATAACACTGTTATGAGGTTAATGTTTTAAATATAAAATATTAAATATAGAAATATTAAATTATTTTAATAACTGTAATGATACTTTAAAATGAAACTAAAAGGGC